GCAAGTGTATTCATAGCTTTATTTCTGTTTTTCTCCTCTAGATTAACCTGATAGCTCCACCCAGGTATGTGATGACGACGACGACACTGGAGAGAACAGAAGGCCTCTCTGTTCTCAATCAGGCTATGGCAGTCATCAAAGAGAAGATTGAGGAGAAGAGAGGCGTGTTTAATGTTCAAATGAAGGTGAGATCTGCATCTTGGTTTTTTGCTTTGTTCTTATAACTTCTGTGTTTCGTTTTTGGGGTTTTTTGTCTTCTTTGGTTTTTTGGGGGGGGGGGGCCCTTTTGATACAGGATCCCGTGTAGTCCAGGCTTGTCTCCAGCTCCCTGTAGTTGAGTCTAGCCTTGACCTATTTAATTTTCTTTTTAGTGTGTGTGCCCAAGTATGCTGACCCATGGGTGCACATGTAAAGGCCAGAGGTCAGTTTCAGATATCCTCTTGTCTTTTTTTTTTATATGTATAATTTATTTAACTTTATTTCATGTATGTTGGTGTGAAGGTGTCAGATCACCTGGGACTGGAGTTACAGACAGTTGTGAGCTGCCATGTGGATGCTGGTATTTGAACCCAGGTTCTCTGGAAGAGGAGCCAGTGCTATTAACCTCTGAGCCATCTTTCCAGCCCCTCCTCCTCTGTCTTTTTTTTTTTTGTAAGACTCACTGAACCTGAAGCTCAAGAGCCACCTGTCTTCGCTCCTAGCTTCAGGTTACTGATCCTTAGCATTATGTCCAGCTTTCTGTGTAGTGGCTAGGGTTTGAACTCCAACCCTCATACTCTGCAGAAGGTACTTGATCTACTTAGCTACCTTTTCAGCCTATTAGTGCTTTTTCAAATTTTAGATATGGGCCAGCAAAATGGCTCAGTAGGTAAAAGGCCCTTGCTGCCAAGCCTGATGACCCAAATTTGGCCTCCTGGGCTGGTATGTTAGAAGGAGAAAACTGATTCCCAAAAGTTGTCTTTTCAACTTCAAAACCACGCCGTGGCACACATTCCCACACTCATATATAGAGTGTTGTATCAGATGAATTGAATATGATGGCCCATGCCTATAATCTCAGTGCTTGGGAAACTGAGACCAGGATGATTGCCTAAAGTTCAGAGCCAGGCTTGTTAGCATACCAAGGATACCTGCCTAGTTAGATATTTATAAGTATAAAGTAACCATTGATACATAGTATTCCTAAAAGGAGGAGTTGTTTGGTAATAAGAGTTATTAGTACTAGACTGTCATATTGTGGGATAGACATTTGGGCCTTTGGTGTTAGGGGTTTTCCCCTCATGGAGAAAAATAGATAATAAAAAATTTGCTAGGCAGTGACACAAATCTAATTTCAGCACTGGGAGGCAAAGGCAGTAGGGCTGCCTTGTCTACATAAGGAGGCCCTATCTCAATAATCTGTCTTTCCCTCATCACTATATAAACAGAACCTAATTTCCATATACTGTGTGTCTGTGTATAGAACAATTTATTCTCTGAGGAAGCATAGTTTATCTTGAACCCAGAATATCCTTTTTTTAAAAAAAAAAAAACAGGACATTGGTGGTCTTTGTGATCACTGAATTCATGTTTTCAGTTAAGCTTTTTAAATGGCTGAAAATATTGTTCCACTGTAGTGTGCACTATTTGCCTGTACTGTCTTGTCTTGTATTTTGTTTTAATTTTCAGCTAATAGAACTTACTCAGAGGTAAGTCAGCACGGGTATGACTGAATTATTAGAAATGAAAGTACTTTTGAAGTTATATTTTAAACACTGGCCAGTAATACTATTGAAATCCAGTCTACTCTGCTGTTCAGTTCATTTTGAATTTATGCCTTTTCCACAGCCTAAAGTGGTCACCGATACAGATGAGACTGAACTTGCAAGGCAGCTGGAACGGCTTGAGAGAGAAAATGCGGAAGTGGATGGAGATGATGACGCAGAAGAAATGGAAGCCAAAGCTGAAGATTAGCCTTGTGGGAAACAGTCTGATTTAAGGAATACGAAGCTGCCCTTCCTGGCTGTAAACCCTAGACTTGAAAGTTTTCCAGTATTGAAAACTTCTAAGCTGAATATTTTTATTTCCAAGTATTCAAGTGTTCAACAAACCAGAATCTAACCGCCCTCCTTGTGTCAGCCACAAAGAAGCTCTAACATCTCAAGCATTTTTTTAAGGGAGTGTCTTGATTTGACCAGAGGCAAATCTTAAAGAGCAGCCCTAAAATTGGGCTTTCAGTTTCCATTTCTGATGTCTCTGGATTCAGTGCCTCCATGAGATTTACCAGGGGCACCCAACACAGAACAATCCCAACCTTTCTATATAAAATGTATTCAAGCCAACATCAAATAAATTTCTGGGATATTTAACTTTAGGCTTCTTCCTTCTTGTCACCAGTTAAAACTAGTCTGAATGTTCAGTTCCTAATTCTCTTTTTATGTTAGAAGTAAACGGTAAGTAATCAAGTGACCTTTGCAGTAACAGACTTTCAGAAGGAAGGTGCAGGGAAGCAGTTCTAAATTTAACCATAGTGAATTTGGTCCCAAGTGGAGAAAAACCTTGAAATTTAATTAATTAAAGCATTATGTGCCTGTTAACCTGTTTGAGACCAATGGCAACTTGAATAAGAGAAGTCATCACACCCAGTCCCTTTGGTGTATACTAAACTATGCCCCTTAAAGTTATATATCTAAGGGTCTTTATATAAAGCGCTGCTGCTTTGATGTAGTTACTTTGAGCAGCATCACCCAACTGAAGAGGGCATTTTCCTCTTTGTCTGGTAGGTGCTACTTATATCTTTAGTTGTGGTTTACAACAAACTTTTTAATGTTCCTTTTTTTACCTTCACAGACTAGTAACACATAAGCTACAGCCACTGTAGTCAAAATGTAGAAAATCATTTAGTTTGGCATGTTTATGTTAGGATACTTGTACTATTTATTATCTGTAGGCAAACTTAAAAGCCTAATCAGTCCAGTGCTAGATTGAGTAGTAAGGGTTCTAGAGTTGGGCACAGTAGCATATCCTCTAGTACTTGGAAGTCTGAGGTGGGAAGATTCCTTGAGCCCAAAATTGTTGATCAGCCTGGACAACCACTGGGAGCCCTGTATCTCAATGGAAATTAGTGTTAGGGAGATACTTTGCCACTTAGGAGAGTTTTTTCTTTGTTTAGCATAGTAGTCTATTAGCTTTTTAATCTTATAGTCTAACCTCAGATGGCCCATTTCCAAGGAATAATGCTCGCCAGTTGGCATGCCATGTTCCTGGTTGTTATTATTTTCATTGCTACTTCATAACTAATTTTGCTACTGTTATGACTCTTACTGAAAATATCTCTGGTTTTCGATGGTCTTAGGCAACCCCTGTGAAAAGGTCATTTAACCCTCAAAAGGATCACAACCCACAGGTAGAGAACCGCTGGTCTAAAAGCATCAAGAAATAAGATTAGGACTACGTATGGTAGTGTACGCCTTTAATCCTAGCAGGCAGATCTGAGTTGAGGGCTAGCTGGTCTGTATATCAAGTTACAGACCATCTAAGACTACATAGTGACACCCTATCTCAAAAAAAAATTGTTTTCAAGCTTACAAAGCAAAGCATGGAGGTATATTATCCACGCTGCAGTGGCAGCTATAACCCCTGCTGTTCCAGAAACAGGAATGCTACAAATTAGAGACCAGTTGGATCAACTGCTCTAAGGATTTAAGAATATAGTTGTTAGCCTAGTCTGTGCCTAGCATGTCAAGGCCCTGGGATCACTTTCCATAATCACAGAAGAAGAAAAAAATACATTATCAAATATAACAAGTGCCCTTTTCCTAAAAATTGTTTACTGAAAATCTTTATTTTTTTTAAAAAAAAAAACAGTTGAAGTCAGGCATGGTAGCATCTAGATCAGCCTGGTCTACAGAGCAGTTCTAGAACAGACAGGCTACACAGAGAAACCCTGTCTCAGAAATTAAAAATAGCTAGGGTTCCATGATGATTTTTATCCTATTAGACTTTTTTGATTAACAGTTGTGTAAATGGTGACCCTAGCCAGAGTAAAGATCAGTCCTTCACTAACACTGTGGTGAGAACTGAGATCCAGAATACTCACTCAGCCATGGAAGACCGAACAGAACGGACAACGAATAGAACAACTTACCATGTCCTGGTTTTCCCACCAAAGCCTTCTCATTAACAATGCTAACAATTCTGTTTTCCCTCTTCTGCCTTGGATTACAGTCATTAATCCATACAACAAAATGAGCAATGTTTTGTTTCCTACATTAGTTGAAATAGACTAAAAAAATTAAACGTTGAAACTGCTTTTATATCAGTTTTATAGTCAAACATACCAATTCTCATGAATATGTTGAAGTTTGGGGGTGGTTTTGTTTTGTTGGTATTTTGAGACAGGGTTTCTCTGTAGCTTTGCTGCCTGTCCTGGAACTAGCTCTAGTAGACCAAGCTGGCCTCAAACTCACAAAGATCCGCCTGCCTCTGCATCCTGAGTGCTGGGATTAAAGGCGTGCGCCACCACCGCCCGGCTGTGTTTTTGTTTTTGAAGATGTTCAAGTTTTTAATGAGCTGCAGAGCTGTGTGAGTCTCTGTGCCGCTGAGTAGCAGTTACCATTCTGCTGTGTGCACCAGCCATTTGTGTCCTAGTTTCTTTTCTTTTTCATCAAGAACTATTAACGTGAGTAGTGATAAACGTTCTGGTACCTTGCCAGCTGTACTGCTTTGTCTGAAGCTGTCTTTACCCTTGAGAATCCTTGTCTCGCCCTTAGTCATGGGAAGTATGGCTGTGTTAGTTTGGAAGCAGGAAGATATCAAACCAAATGCAACTTAATTCAGATAAGCACTTACCAATATCCTAAAAGTAACTGGATACGTTAAACCTGTAAAGATGCCAAATGAAAAAATGGTACCTAAAAAGGCAGTCTCTTACAAAGTAAGGATAAGGGGTGGGGGGTGTCATGCTCTTGGAATTCCTGACTATTCAGGATCAGGTATTTATTCCAGACATTAAGAGGAAATCTATTTTGAGACGTTTTTACTTAGGCACTTTAGGAATATCCATTCCCCTTAAATAAATGTAAGTTATGTATTTTATCAAAGTCCACACCATTGTCCTTGACAAGAATGCTGGCCATAACTTGTGCCAGATTACTGTATAAAGTTAATAAAAATGTTTATAAAAACACTATGATAAAGACTTTTCACTTTAGGCTAACCTTCCAAATAGGGAAGTTCTTTGCTAATTTCAGTTAATGTTCATTTTTAGACCAGTCTTAGCCCTTGATTTAACTTTGCCCTTTGTATCTTTGTTGTTCAGAAGGCTCTTGATCCACATCTTTCTAAATGTCCATTTTGTACAGAAAACCTGTATTTCTGCCCTTGCCCCCTCCCTTTTTTTTTGGACAGATTTCTTCAGGAGTCTGCGACTTGTATATTTGTTATCTTATTCTGCAAAGCAAACTATCTTGTGAACATTAAACAATTTGCCAGCATCTCCACTGTGAGATATGTCGTCATAGTGACAGGTGACTTGAGGTTTTCCCATAACCAGTTTCTGTAATACATAGGGCCTTACAGGGAGTAAACCTGTGGGGATCATAAAACTGTATAAGAACTATAGAAACAAATGTCAATCTTTATTAATTCTAAAAATGTGAATTGTTGAAATCACTTAAGAGCGCTATCTTGAGACTAGAGTATTTAATATAAAAAGCCCAAGTTAGTGTTCCAACAAAGAGATACATACTACTATGGTCCCCAAAGACAAGTTTTTTGTGTTTGTGGTTTCTCAAGATGACTTCTCTGTGTAGCCCTGGCTGTCGTGGAACTCTGTAGACCAAGCTGGCCTCGAACTCAGAGATCCACCTGTCTCTGACTCTCAAGTGCTGGGATTAAAGGTGTGTGCCCCACTACTGCCTGGCAAGACACAGATTTCTGTCCTTCAGCTGCCACCAAACAGCTGTTCCAGCTTTTCAGGTCGTTGATTAGAAGACGGAGGGAAGTCACTCCACTAGTGTCATCTGTGGAACCATCTTGAGTGGTCTCGCTCCAAAGCATTACAAAGTGGACACTGGTAAAGACTTCCAAGAATTGAACCGGGGGGCTCAGGATTGCCGTGGCAGGTCCTCTACCACTGAGCCACATCCCAAGCTCTGCCTGTCTTGTACTCCAGTTCTCCATGAAATCCCGTCTGTATCAGCTGTGAAGAATGAACAGGAACCCTAGCCCTGTTCCCATAGATCATGTTAGCTTCTTGATAGCTTCAATCCACTCTGCTCGCTCAGCCTTGCTGCTGGCCTGGATATAGTAGTGTGTGTCGTCCTTTGTGATCACCTTGAAGAGATTTCCTTGGACATTGCCTTTAACTCCTACACCGGAGAGAAAAGTATTAAACATCCATGTCAACTCCTAGCTTGAAGAAGCTGAGCATCAACTAAGACAAAAACACTGAAGTATTTCCACTCCCTACAATCATAAGGCCTCAGTGCTTATTCTGGACATTTGCAGCTTGCTTGCTTGCCCATGCTACCCAGAGACCTACAGTCTCATTCACATAAAAAAAAAAAAATACCCATTTATGTTAAAAGGAGGCACAGAATTTTGTTTGTTTAGAATTGACTTTGTGTGTCGATTTCTACATCCACAAGATCGAAATACTACCTTCCTATCGTAGCTGGAGATTGTAAAATTATTGTGGATAGGAAATGAAAGCATGGGGCTGGAGAGATGGCTCCGGTTAAGAGCAATGGCTGCTCTTTCTGAGGACCTGAGTTCAGTTCCCAGCAACCACATGGTAGCTCTCAACCATCTAAAATGAGATCTGGTGCCCTCTTCTGGTCTGCAGGCAGAATACTGTATATATAATAAAGCTTTTTTAAAAACATAAACATGAAAGCACTGGCACTTAGATGGAAGCTTATGGGCCATCAGCACAGAAACTAAGGAAGAAAATAATAAGGATTATTCAGTTGTATTAAAACACAAGAACATCCCATATAGCATTTTCCTTTGTTTTTAAAATGGACTTAAAAGATCACTGTCTCACTGAGGAAAGACCCACTTGATTCTCAGGCTCTCACCACCTGTCCCCCCAGGGGCATTAATGACATGCAGATGGAGGCCCCAGAGATCTTCAGACCAAAGCTGAAGTTGTTCCTTACCAGTAGGAACACCATTATCCTCCAGAGCAGACACAAGGGACCCACGAAGAGAAAACCCACCTACTGGCCTGTTCTCTTCCTGTGGAGGAGAGACTGATTAGTAATTCCTTGAACACAGAGAAAAAGAAGACACATCTTCCCCTATGCCTGACCTGCCAGGCCACTGCTAAAGGCACTTCAAATTGTCTGTAATAGATGTGGCTGAAGTTGGGCATCATTGCCCAAGTAACTTGTACCAGTGAGGCATTTGGGGCCTGTTTCCTGGTCGTAGCAGCAGTGCACTAAGGTCTGACTGAGCTGAACAAAAGTCTCATCCGACGTTTCACCAGAAGCATACCCTGGCTTCTTTAACTTTTGTCAACAATATACGGTTATGACGGGTATTTCTGCACATTGGACATTGCTATGTAAGTAAGTCTCTAATTATGTGCTTAGCATGAAGCAAGACGGATTTAGGGTGTCTGGATGGTTAAAGAGCAACTTTGCATGCCTCAGCCCTTGGTCCCTTCTGTTAATCAATTCTGAATGGGTGACTCCAGAAAACAAAAGCTAAAGCAGTTAAGTAACAAGGAAGAAGTGTTGACTTAGATACCAGAGGAGGAGAGCATTAAGAAGGGGCCCAGCACTGCAGGCATCTACAGCAGGCAGTTTCAAGGGGAGACTGATTTGGCCTTGAGAAGCAGGTCCTGGGTACTGGGATAGATTTAACACAGCTATAGGAAGGGTAACGGCAAAGTCTTAGAGCAGATTAATAGCAAAAGGCCCTGGACTCACCAAGGGCACACAGCGGTTGACTCTAGATTAAGAGTTAAAAAGCTTATATATTTGTTGATATTTTCCAAGTTTCGAAAAGGATTTGTGCTGGAGATGTTAGCATCAGTTGTTAGCATCCTTGTTTAGCCTACACAGAGTTTTGGGTTCAATCTGGAATGATGGCACATGCCTGTAATCCCAGTATTCAAATTCATCTTGGTTACACAGTGAGTTTGAGACCAGCCAAGGCTACATGCAATGATATCTTTAAAAATAAAACAACAACAACAACAAAGGATCTGAGACAGCCATGGTAGCAACACTACTAGGACTCACAGATCAATGGGTCCCTTTTGGAGGTCCAAGAGTTTGATCCCTCAGTCAGCTCCCCTTCTATCCCTTTCCCTAGGCCTTAGCACTCACTGTGCTTGACGGAGAATTGAGAAGTTTCCTCCATTCAGCTGAAACTCATATCAAAGTCAAGGCTGAACACCCTGACTAGAGAGCCATTTTTCTTTTGATTAGAATTAACTCAGCATGAGTTAATGAGGTGATATTTATGAGAAACATGGAGCAACAATTCCAGACTCAAAAAGTAATGTGTAAATTAAATACAATAAAGAGAAAATTCCAAAGGTGAAAAGAAGTTGAGGGAGGCGGAATTTGTAGGCCAGCTGGATGAAAAGGATGAAGAGGATGGGAGCACTGCTGGGAACACCACTTAGGAGTCTCCCTCACTCCCTCTCCCCGCAAAGCAGGCTTTGGGGAAAGTAAAAGAAGGAAGGTCCTCTCATGGCAAGTGGGCACAGAAGACCACACACAGAACAGACAACTCTATGACAGAGAAGTATGGACTGCAAGAAACCATGGTGTGGTGCGGGAGAGGACACACAGCCGTTGTCCGATCTGCACAGACTCTGGAAGCAGCACAGTCCCAAGGGACAGGGGTCACTCACTTTGGAAGGGTCATAGTAATGCAGGAAAGCTGGATCCTTCCTCAGAACAAATCGGCGCACCTTCCAGTTTTTCCTCTTGTGCCCCTGTGGGAAAGAAAGGGCTCAAGCTCTACATTTCCTTCCCTCCTCCATGCGTCCATCTAACAAAGCGCCAACAAGCCAGCCTGCTCCCACAGGACTACATTCCAAGGACAGTCTGCAAGAGACTCGAGGATCACAGTGACGCTGTCCCTGCTTAGTGGCTCCTCAGCAATAACACACTAGTGCTGAGTTAGCACTGAAGGGAAGGGGACACGTCACCCCAACACTCAGGAATGGAAGCACTAAAGGGCTGAGACTGGAGCTCAGTAATAGAGTTGTTAGCCAAGCAAGCACAAGACCCTGAGTTCAATTCCCAGCACTGAAAAACAAAAAAGCGAGGGGGCTGAGGAGATGGCTGTTCAGTGAAGAGCATTTGCTGCTCTTGAAGGGGACCCTGGTTCAGTTCCCAGCGCCCATGTGGTGGCTAACAACCATCTGTAACACCAGTTCCAGAAAATCCAAATCCATCTTCTGATCTCTGTAAGAACCGTACACACAAACACAGAGACAAAACGCCTATATGCACAAAAATATTTTTTAAATATTTATTTATTATGTATACAATATTCTGTCTGTGTGTATGTCTGCAGGCCAGAAGAGGGCGCCAAACCTCATTACAGATGGTTGTGAGCCACCATGTGGTTGCAGGGAATTGAACTCAGGGCCTTTGGAAGGGCAGACAACGCTCTTAATCACTGAGCCATCTCTCCAGCCCCCCACAAAAATATTTTTAATAATATTAAATATATTTAATTTTAAAGGAGGAGGACAGAACAAACAGCAACTGTTTGTTCAGTACTTCACAGCCCACATTGTTCCTAGGCCTCACTGAACCCAACTGAAGGTCACCAGCATTTTAAGGGTCAACTTGGTCCAAAAACAACCCTATAGCTACATGTATATTTGTGCTTTTTGTTTTATTTTATTCTATTTTTCATTTTCAGAGTTTCTCACTGGGACAGGATAGCACTGGCTATCCTGGAACTCCCTCTATAGACCAAGCTGACTTAGAACTCACTGAGATCCTCCTATCTCTGCCTCCCGAGTGTTGGGATTCAAGGCGTGCACCACCACCGCCCGGCAGAAGTTGCTTTTTAATGTGACAATTACTTGTGTGTACATTTTTTCCAAACAGTTCTTGGGTCTGGTACGTGTATGTAGAATGAGCATGTGTGGATCCTTCACTTGCCTCTTGCGGCTGGGGTCGGGGGTGGCCCCGTTTTGTGAGGCCCACTAATAAAGAAGGTACTCCAGCATCCTCAGCTCCTGCCTCCCTCTGGGCTCATTCCTGCCTCCTTCAAGTGTGATAGCTCAACATTTCCTCTGGCTCAAGAGCAGCCATACCTGCTTGGATAGGTAGCCTTGCTTGACCACTATGCCACTTAACTCCATGGTGCTGAGACTGATCTCCTCCTTGGAGCTGACCTTCTTCTTGTAGCTTTCAGCCTGGTGGGAAGGGGAAGACAAGGGCTTGTTACAAATGAGCCCCAAATCCAGGCCATGGGGGCTGCAACTGCAAAGAGGATCCCTCAACACAGAAGCCCCTTGGCCCCCTTGGGGTGGAGCTGTTCCCCATACCCTGAGTCTTCCCCCTGGCTCCAGACTCCCAACTCCTACCCTTGCCACTTCCTCCCCTCTCCCCTCACGGTAAGGAAAGCCTAACCTTTAACTTACAAAAGTGTACAGGGCTGTGGAGTCATCCAGAAACTGCTCGGCCAGATCCCCGGAGCGAATAGCTCCCATGCTCCGGACCCCAACTGGCCTGAGGAAGTTCTCTTCCATAAGCATGGAGGCCAGGGTCACCCCCTCCAGACGGCTGGCTGCAAAGTTGCTGGAGATGAGCCAGTCCACCAAGGAGGAGCCTGTGTCAGGACAAGGACAAACCTGTCAGACCATGGGTTAGCTATATCTGAGCCTACTCAGGGTAGGTGAGCTACCTCATCGACCTTAACCTCCTGGGAAGTCTCAGGTTCTACCATAGAGCAGCCTGAGGGTCACACCCAATGCTCAGAGCTGTAGTCATACCCACAGGTGACCCTCACTGCCTACCCCATTTCTGAGCAAGCAGCTCGGTCCCCGTTATAAGCTGGTCAAGCAGTCGGATAAGCTCCAGTCACTGTGTCCCAGATCTCCAACCTGCCATGGGACAGATAAGCTCACCCAGAAAGGTCTTTTTGTAGGTGCTTCCCTGCTCCATGTTGGGACACGGCCGGATTCCACTGCTGCTGTCATGCAGCTTGTCCACAATTCGACTACACAGAAAGAAAAAACAAAAGAAAAAGAAAAAACCCTCGTCACACTCACACTGTCTGTGATGGGGGAGGGGATAGAGAGGACAGGGGACAGGAATCATGATATAAATCATGATATCAGTTCATGATACAAAGCAAGGGACAGATGGTATGATACACAGAGACGGGCTTTGGTTATCAATCAAAATCTAATATACATGACTTTCAGATGCTCCTCTTCTTGGTCATTTAAATGTTCAGATATTTCCACACTGGGCAACTATTACTGTTGACATAAAGCTAAACAGCCGTGACTGTTTAAAACCCAGGGGCTCTCACGGCTCCCTGTGATCTGCGTCTGAACTCCTGCAGCTTCTCCTCTGTAGCTTTCCTTTCTGACTCTACCTTCTCAGCTGCACCTTCCTGTTCTCACCCTGGCTTAGCAGCTATGTGGGCCCGTGGGTGTGCACACACTGCACTTCAGAGGCCTGGTGTGGAGTTCTGTGAGTTCAGGAACAGACTTGCATCCCATCTAGGAGGGCCGTGACAGTGAGGCTGCCTGGAAGGCTATGGGGCATCACCCTGCTGGAAACGCCTGTCATACCTCTCTGTGGCATGGTTATCACCAACACCGCTGGCTGGCCTTCCCTTTGCAGATGTGACAACTGCTGCTAACAGTGAAGGATCTTCTCTATGTATGTCCCTGGGGTGGAAGGCCCTTGAGATCTTGTTTATCACCGCTTACCTCTGCTGAGCAACTGGCCCAATGCATGACATTCAATAGCACTCAAAACCACCTCTTTTTTCTTTATTAAAACTGACACATAAGAATTGTACATGTTTGTGATGTACTCAGTGATTTCTTAGATGGTTGAATGAGGAATCCCTCTAAACAATAAGGCAGCCATCACCTGCCACTGAGCTGCAAGTGAGACCTGTCACATAATCCTAAGCACTCTGCTTACAAAGGAATGGTGGTCTCTACTTCATTCACTAAGGTATTGGGACTTGGTAGAGGCCCTAAAAGGTTACATAGGAGAGTGGAGCTAAATAAGGCACATTCCAGGCAGTCAATCCAGCATAACCAGGACAAAGAAATCTGCTGGCTCTGAAGCGCAATGGTGGACTAGTCAAGCCCACGTTGTACCGCAGGGTCCCCCTCCCCGCTAAATGGACAGGAGAAGCAGCAGGGGTGCCAGGCAGGTGGAGCACTCACTGCAGGCTGATGTGTGGGGGCAGCTTGAAGGAGTTTTTCTGTATGTGGAGTTGCTGGACCTTCCCCGGCTGCCCTGCGTGGATAGCTCCTGTTATTTCAAAGGCCCAGGAGTCCCTCTCCTCTCGAGAGCAGGCCTCCAGGAAGTACTCAGTGGAAGTTCGGGTCTTCAGCTTAATGAGGAGCTGTGAGCAGAGACAACCAGACAAACTGATACTCAGAGGAGAACTGCGCAAGGGAACGCTGACAGCAGGCATGACAGGGCCAGAGAGGATCCCAGAGGCCATGGATCCAGGGATGCCTAGTGCCCGACCCTGCCCACACTCAGCAAGTGGGGCTGTACAGATTGATTGGGATACATCCGAGATCCGAGACAAGGAACTCATGGCCTCCTACAGCAGCCTTTAGGACTGAATGGATTAATGCAGCGTGCCTCTCAACACTGTGACTCTGACTCATCCCTCTAGACCCACAGCCCCACTTCCTATCACAAGCCCTCTCCAAGGAGGGGATCTCCCGAGCTCTGCAGCCAGATGGAGCCGGACACAACGCAGCTCTGCCACTTGGCTAGGAATGCCAGGTCATCTTGAGAACCTCACTGAACTGCAGCCTCGACACTGCCAGCTACCCTGGAGGATGGCTAGCAAGGTCCCTTCCGTCCCTGTCTCCAGTTCAAGCATCACCAAGCCACCCACTTATTCTTCATGGGACACAGTTTCCATTCCTTCCCAAAAGTTTTGCCCTCTGCTGCATGCTCAGCCCTTGGTCAGCATTCTCAGAGAACCCCACCCAGGATGGAACGTTCTGCTCCAGGACAAATGAGAGCTAAAGGAGGTTTAACTATTTGCCCTGGCTCAGGACATAGCCAGGATTTGAACCCAAATCATTTAATGACAACCAAGGGGCAAGGTGGCTAGAATGGGACCGGGCATCAGGATGCTCACATACCGGCCGGTTTTCATACTCCAAGCAGGGGCAGGTGATGGTGCAGCCATCGAGGAGGATCCTTCCCTTGGGTGGGGTCACTCGCCGGCCACCTTCTAGCTTGTAGTACAGGAGTGTGTTCTGCCGAAGGATAAACCATCGTGCCTTCCAGTTGGGGACAATGTGGCCCTATGGACAGACAGACGGACAGACAGGAAATCCCGGTGGTGAGGTGATGCAAGGGAGGATACAAGGCAGGATACTGTGCTAGGGAGAGGAAGCCCATGGCTCCGGCAAGCAGTGTGGGCTGAGAGACAATATACAGTGAAGGAGGAAGCAGGAATTGCACTGGGCTCTCCTTTGCTCATCTCTTCTGAGTTGGAGGCCAAAGCCTTTGACCTTGGCCTTTTATTTCCTATTGACCTTTGCTTGTCTATAAATCTCCCCCAACCAGGGGTGGGGATCAAACCCAGGCTCTCTGGCATGTGAGACAAGTGTTTTGCCTCCGAGTTATACATCCCAGAACCAGTTCATAAAGTTTGAGAGAAACTGCAAAATATAAAGAAAAATCGCTCACCTTTAATTCTTTTAGTACAAGACAGCCATTGTTAATACCTGGTGTCTTCTTCCCCCTTCCCTTTTCCATGACTGTCTGTATGCAAATAATCATGTGTGTATGCATGCATTTAGACAGGGTATTATGTGTGCATGTAGAAAGGTCTAACTATGTAACCCAGGCTAGCCTGGAATTCGTGATTCTCCTGCCTCAGACAAGGTAGTGCACAGCTTTAATTCCAGCACTCCTGAAGCAGACAGGCAGATCTCTGTGAGTTCAAAACCAGCCTGGTCTACATAGAGAGTCCCAGGCCAGCCAGGTCCCTGCCATCAGAAATAAATAAAATTTTAAAAAGAAAATTAAAAAAAAGATAAATAAAAAGAAAGTTTAGTGTGTGTGCATGTGTTTGTAGCTAGGGACTGAACCCAAGGCATCGTGTGTGCAAGGTGAGTATTCTGTGAACTTATTATACCTCCATCCCCTAGAAATATAATTCTAAAATTATTATAAATGATTCTTTGTGGGTTTGTGATGGTGGAAATCAAACTAGAGTCTCAAAAATGCTAGGCAAGCACTTCACCATTAAATCGCAGATCCTAAAACATTTTGTTTTTGTTTTTAAGGACAGCAGGGTCTTGCCCAGACTGGATTTGGACCTATGATCCTCTAGCCTCACGATCTGAGTTCTGAGATTGTATGTATATATTATAATAACCAGAAAATGATATATTATTTTTATTACAGTAAAATAATTTTAAATTCAAATAAGCAAAAAGTCTCGATGAGCTATTTAAATCGGTCAGATAAGGAAGGCAGGCAAGAGTGAGCACAAAGCACAAACCACCCTTGGGCTTGGGATGTAGCCAGGCGGTGGAGCCCTTGCCTAGTCTCTGTGAGGTCTCAGGCTTGAGTCTCAGCACCAAAACCATTGCAACACTTCCTCTTTAAGAGCATCTGTGTGGCTCTACATGACTCGGGCACCGAGTCTTGTGGGGAAAGGATGGGTTCCTGGTAGACGGAGGTTTCCCTTCTGTGTCGCAGTTTGATATTCAAACCATGAGGAACTTCAAGCAGAAGCAGAACAAGTTTGGAGTCTTATGTTAAAAAGATCCCTCTGGAGTTGGGGATGTAACCCAGCTGGGATTGTGCTTGCCTGTTGGGGACTGCAGACCCTCAGACTCTGAATTTTCTATGACCCTTTGCCTGCCGGAGTAAACAGCTTGTTTTCCTGTGTTTGCAACTGATCTGGGCACCAGACCCTCATGAGTTCCTGATGGCAGGGGAGTGGTTTCTGGTGGGCTTGCAGCTGAAAAATCCTGAGAGCTGGGGTGTGGCCATTAGTCAAGGAGAGCCCTATTTAAGCTGTCCTGGAACACAATAAATTTTGCATTCTTGTTTCAAGGATGACCCATGTCTCTCTCTCTCTCTCTCTCTCTCTCTCTCTCTCTCTCTCTCTCTCTCTCTCTGTGTGTGTGTGTGTGTGTGTGTGTGTGTGTGTGAATCTCCAGCCCCTTGCCCGACTTGTGAACCTTCCCATGGTGCAGGCGCCACACTTGCCTAACACAAATGAAGCCCTCACCACATAAGCTAGGCCTCATGACGTAAGCCTGAACTCCAGGGGTGGAGGAAAAAGGATCAGAAGTTCAAAGCCATCCTCAGCTACATAGTAAGTTCAAAGCCAGCCTGGACAAGAGTCTGCCTCAAAAATCAATCAGTCAGTCACTCTGGTCAGGCTTAGTGGTACACTAATCTGTAATTACACCTGAGACAGGAGGATCACAAGTTTGAGGCTACTCAGTGAGACCCTGCCTCAACAAAACAATCATTCTGACCACCGTGTGTTGGAACAAGCGAACGAAACAATGAGACAGCAGTGGGGTCCTCACTAGGAGGTCTCTGGAATAACCTCACACCTCGAAGGAAACCACCAGTGTTCCTGCTCTACAGATCAACCATAGGTAAGTCTTGGTTCACACCGGCAAAGTGAGTCTAGGTCCAAATAACCCCAGCCCCCACCCCTCCACCTAGGCACTGGTTCCCATGCATGGAGAAGTCTCTCTCTTCAGGCCTCTTGTCTGTAAGCCACTGACTGGGGCACGGGCCAGTTCCTTTAGGGGAAAGGAGGAGTCCCATGAGATGGACAGCCCCCCAAGGCTGTACTAAAGAAGCACAGAACGTAACAGCTGGAGATACTGTCCTCCCTAACTTTAATGATGAGGGAACAGCCAGGCCTGGTAGCTGTTAATCCCAGCACTTCAGAGACAGCGGCAGGCAGATTTCTGGGAGTTAGTTCAAGGCCAGCCTGGTCTATAGAGCTAATGCCAGGGTTACACAGAGAAACCCTGTCTTGAAAAAAGAAGAAGTAGATTTAATACCATAAGCATTTTTACTACACCTGTTTAATAATGGTCTAATTCATTATTTATCTCAGGAGATATATAAGCAGCTTCCAGGGTGTTTGGTTGATTGGTTATGTTACTTGTTTATTTGAGAAAGGGTTTCCTTATGTAGCCTAGGCTAATCTCCAACCAAGGATCCTCCTCCTTCCGCCTCCCACGTGCTGAAATATATGCGTGAGCCACTATACCAGGCTTCTAGAATATTTCATACATACAAAATATTATGTTGGACTGAGATGTAGTTTGACAAGATGGATTGAGTCCTCAGCACCAAATAAACTGGACGTGATGCCACAAGCCTATAAACCAGTACTTGGGAGGTGGAGGCCGATAGATTAAGGAGTTCAAGGTCATCCTCAAGAGTTTGGGCTATATAAGACCCTGCCTCAAAAAAAAAAAAACTGATTAAGTTCTTACTGTATTTTCCTAAGCTAGAGTCCTGGAGTCCTCCAGTTAGCGTCTCCGGGCCAGCCTGTGGCTCAAGAACCAAGCCTGGCAGCAGCACCTATATTTCAGCTCTCCTTACCACCGAGCCATATTCCTCCACCCCCACCCGCACCCCCACCCCGCTGCTCCTCCCACTGAGAGCCAGGCCTGGGCAACTGCCCTGTGTTTTGCCTAGAGTTTGGTTCTTTCTTGTCTGGGCAGGATGAGGAGCCAAATCCATCATGCCCTTGCTTGCCTCCAGCTAAGCCTCCCAGGAGATGACTGCTCTACTCTCTCGCTCCCCATCCCAGAGCTGCGAACCCTCCCAAACTACCCAGTGCCACCCCGACCCTGTAGCTTCCCCCAGTGGGCACAACACAAGGATAACTGCTGCCGCTTGAGAGGCAGTGGGAGCAGGTGGTGGTCGCAGTGGGGATCTCGGGCCAGGAGCAAACGTGACTTTGGCTTGTCTCAGGACCAGGCTGGAAGGAGGCATTGGTGACTCCCTGCATCCTAGACCAGGCCTCCCAGAAGACAAGGGCAATCCTCCTCTGTGTTCTGCTGAGCCTCGGCCCTCCCATCTCTACATAGTAGAGGTAGAGGGGAGTCAGGTAGGCAACCCCAGGAGTGGACAGAGGCCTATCTGAAGGGTTTGGTCTGGAGGTGCTCCCATGCCTTCCCAGGCTCACTAGCCAACCCCATATCACACCACCTCAGTCATCTCATAGGCTGCAGCACACTGGGAGACAGAGGCTCCCCACAGGCTGCCACTCTGACCTGGGCGAACCATCTCAGCATTTAAACGACAAAGACACAAAGTGACCGTGGACTTCTGGACAGACGGACACCAGCCTGACCACCGACCTGGCACCAGCTTCCTTGCTTATAGCTTTGAACAAAGCTCACCTTGTCTTCCTGAATCACACGCCGTGCAAAGCCAGGCAGACATGGTGTAAACGGAATAGGAAAAGGACTTGAGCTTTCAGGGCTCTGGAGCTGGTGTGGCTGGTGAACCAATGAGGGCGACCACTTTCCCCTCATCACCCCACTTCCTAAGGCTGTAAGCCCAGAACGGCTCAGTCTAGAATTTATTTATCGGTACGCTATGCTGTTATACCAATAAACCAACAATATGTTCAGTGTTGACATCAATGTTAATTTTTTAGGTGTTATTGATTAAACCCAAGATTTCCTGCAGGCTAGGTAAATGTCATACTGTTGAACCCTAAAATTTTTTCTTTCAGGTTCTTTCATTCATTTTCTGCCTTGATTTTAGGGCATCCTGGGAGTCCCAGAGTCCCCTGTTTGGACTCTTGCTTCTTCACCACGGGGTAACGGGGGGGGGGGGAGGCACTAAGGATGGAATTCATGTCCTATCTGATACTCACTCTAGGCAAGCTACCCCATCTTACTGATACTCATTCTTCTCATCTATACATGATAGCAACAGCTGTTCTGTCAATCACTAATCCTGCAGGACTGATGAAGGATGAAACAAGACAATTAAGTGGTAAAACACACACACACACACACACCTACACACACACACACACACACACACACACACACACACAGTAAGGGGTCCCTCCCAGATTGTAAACTACTCAGCATGTCCATGGTACTTTATGTTTCAATATTGAACTGTTATATGTTTTAATTGACACATGACTGTGTAGATTCATAGGGTACATGCATCATGATGGCAATCATAGGCATGGTATGCAACAATCGCATCAGGGTAACCAGCATATTCATCACCTCAAACCTTTATTATTGTTTCGTGGTGTTGGAAACATTTAAAATCCTCTTAGCTATTTCAGAATACACTTTTAATTGCAGTCCACCATAGTTAACCTTCTGCCACAGAAATGTTAGAAGTCATTCCTTCTTCCAACTGTACCCTTTATTACCATCCTCTCTCTCCACCTTGCACCCCACACTTCTTAAGATATTTTAATAAGGTGTGTGATGTTTGCATAGCTGTGGACTTGGACCTTGAGCATACTAACCATGGGTCCTGACCCTGGCCTCGTCCTCAGCCCCAGTTGTTTTAAGAGATCCACGCCAGAGCCAGCCCCGAACCACAGTAACCAAACCGGATCTGCCTTTGCGGGCCGGGCGGGTTGGCCAGCAGGATCACTCCCCAGGCTCGCCCGCGCGTCCAGCCACCGCCCGCTCCACTGTCTCCACGGCCACGCGGGCGCGAGGCCGAAGAGCACTCACCCTCTTCACGAGGAATCCCTCCTTGAGCACGCCGTCCTCCATGTCGCTGGTCCAGGTGAGCTGTCCCCGCGATTCGCCGCCTGTGCCGCCCGCGCCCAGGAAGCCGCTCCCGCCCGTCGACGCCCCCTGGCGCGTATCCAGTGCCAGAGCCTTGGGCCCCGCGGGCAGGAAGTCTGGCCAGGTCGGGACTTATACACCGACCTTCCCACGCGAGGTGCCCAGCCTGCAAGCTCCACCCCGCGCGATCCGCTGTGGTCGCCCAAGTAAATGACCCTGGACGGGTGTCTAGACTTGTGAGCCATCCCTGAGCGCGGAAGAAACAGACAGAGGAGTGTGTAGATAGGGTGGAACTGGGCTAGGAGGGCAATAGAATCACAAATTTAAGGCGGCTGGCACAGTCTACAGGGCCGTGTGCCCATAACACACTCCATATCACATCATCCTCATCTGGAGAAAAAAAAAATCCAACTACCAAAGATTTTAGCAGTCATCCATATAAATCATACTTTAATGCAATATTTTAAAGACAAAATTAATAGGCATTATTGATGATGAACAAACTATCCTGAGATAACACTGAGATAGTGTTCTACTACACCATGCTGGCACCTGAAACAAAAGTAAACTACGGGTATTGCTGATGGGCTTAGAATCCCTGATATTTCTTCTTTACTCTGCCGGGGGAAGGGACTCTCGGCAGGAGAAAGACTCTGGGGTGCCTAGGAGGAATGAGACTGCTGGACAAGAAGAGGGAGCTGCTGGCAATGGAGAGACTGCGATACCCTTCAGGCTGGCTGTCAAACTACCCTAGGGTCCTCTGTGGCTCTGTAAGAGACATATGCCTTCACCTCACCATTAAAGCCAGGAGACCTGGTAGGGGCCACCATATTGTGTTACCAGGCAAAAGTTTCCTAGGTTTTGAATCCAAAGGCAACAGGTTTCCATTCTCGGTTCAATAGTAGTGCTAGGCTTCACGTGCAGTATCCCAACTCCAGGAGGCAAAGACTATGTTTTCCAGGAAAGTGAACTTTCAAGCCATTAACACTTAACTGAAGGCCTCACAGCCTAGGGCATTTTGAGCACACCTGCTTCTGAACCCCAGCAGGGTTCAAGCCAGGCTAGGAAAGGCTGGGAAAGACTGATCCCGAGCCAGCTCCTTCTTGGAGGCTTTGAAGGGCCTTTCTTTGGAAAATGGGATCCTTGGTCCCTTCTCCCCAGTACAGCTAAGGCTGCTGCACTTCCTAAGAGGGAAGCCCCTGCCCTGGCCCACTCTGTCTGATTCACTGGATCTTCAGCATGAGTCACCGCTCCTGCCTTCCCCAATCTGTGGTGACTGCGCCATCAGCTACCAGGGAACCCCAGTGACATAAGCCCCACTCAGCCACAGGAAGGAGGTGGGGGGAGATGGAAGGAAGCAAGCTGCCCAGACAGCTTGGACATGGGGAGGAGGCAGGGTGAGGAAGGAACCTCCAGACTCAGGAGCTCGCCTTCCTTCCTCTCATGTGTCAGTGTGTAGAGAAAGCTGTTAGGTGGGTGTTCGCGTGTGATGACGCTGCCTGAGGTGAAGTCTGCCATTAGCGAATCATTCTTTTGGCTTTGGATAAGAATCTACATACAGTAGTCGAGCCTTATTCACAATGAACACATTGGCTTCCTGAGTGTGTCAAAATGACCCATCTACCCCTAGAAATCATCTAATCCAGACACTGGGTTTTTATAAACTACACACACACACACACACACACACACGCCCTGAGAAACAATAATTTGTCTAAGGTCTTCATCCTCGTAGTGTCAAAGCAGGGCCAGGATCCAAACTAACAGAGCAGTACGTTGCAAAGCTAGCTCTTAGCAAACACAGGGGCACCTCCCTCAGGAGTGGCCAATAATGGCTCCAGAACCAGAAAGGATCGAGGGGATAGACAGCTCAGCTGTTATGGGCCCTCGTTGCTCTTGTGGATGACCCAGGTTCAGTTTCCAGAACCTACACAGTGGCTCACTGCCATCCATAACTCCAGTTCCAGAGGATTCAATGCCTTCTTCTGACTTCCATGGGCACTAGGCATGCACATGGTACATATATGTTCATGCAGGCAAAACACTGACACACATAAATAATAAATAAATAAGCAAACAAATAAACAAATCTAAAAATAATACTATTCCATAGGCCAGTGTGGTGATGTATGCCTGTAATTCTAGTACTCTGAAGGTGGAAACAGGAATTTGGTAAATCGAAGGCCAACCTGATCTACATAGTGAGCTGCAGGTCAGCCTGGGCTAAAAAAAAGATGAAGCCCTCTGTGTTAGTTACTTTTCACTTGCTGTGATAAAATACTAAGACCAAGGGGACTTACAGAAGAAAGAGCTTTTTGATGCTTACATTCCAAAGCAATAAGGAAGCTGAGAGATGAGTCCTTTAACTGCAAGCACAAAGCAGGAAGGAAGAGCTCAAAGCCAGTGACGCTTCCTCCAGTAAGGATGAACCATTTAAAAACTTTGAACCCTGACTTTTTTTACTTCCAATAGCGAACATGCATCTTAACAAGTCACTAAAATGATTCAAATGAATGATTTCAATAGTTACATAAAATTTCACATGATAGTGTCATAACATATTTGATCATTTCCATATTGGTTGGTTTAGCTGTCTTCTATTTGTTTTGTTTTTAATGTGTTTATTACTTTTTGGGGGGGACGGGGTCTCATTTTCTAACCCAGGCTCGCCTTGCTTTGAGGATTCTCCTGCTTCAGCCTCTTGGGTGCTGGGGTTCCGGACATGTGCTAAGTCCTCCATACTCATTACCAAGCTGCTTTTCTAGACATGTACCCTGTGATCTCCTCACCAGCAGTGCGGTGTCTACACTAACATCACGTTGCCCACACCAGCATCACAGGGTCCATACCAGCATCATGATGTCCACACCAGCATCACGATGTCCACACCAGAATCACGGGGTCCACACCAGCATCACGGAGTCCACACCACCATCACGATGTCCACACTAGCATCCTGGTGTCCAAACCAAGCTTCAAACAGTATTTTTGGGAAACTGCTCATTTTCTCCTGAACCAGAGGCATAGGCTGTGCCGTCAGTTAGAACGAACCCCAGCTTCCTGGAACAACTCCCCCCGCAGTGACTAGTGAGTGAGAAATGAAAGAAGCCTGTGCCAGGGAAGTCCCAGACAGATGTACTGACCACAGAGAAAGGAGGGGGCATATGGCATCCTAGAGCCTGTGGTGCACCCAAAAGTACTTAAAAGGTTGAGGTCAGACCCTGGGTTTGGTCCCCAGCACTACAATGGTAAGAACACCACCACCAACAGCATCCCATTGTAAATCAGGGAGTAATCATATTCTTTAATCCACACTCATTTATTCATTCATTAACAGCAGGAGACTCTCCTAGAGTATGTCAGTACAAAGCACCAAGTGCTATGAGCCCTTCTCAGGCTTTACCCTTGTCAGTCATCAGCGTAAGCAGGAGGAATGTCACTTAGTGACATAATAAGAAAGGAAAAGTAATCTGGGCAGTGGTGCTGAGTGCCTCTAGTCCCCACATTCAGAAGACAGAAGCAGGCAGGTCTCTGGGTTCGAGACCAGCCTAACCTGGTCTACAGAGCGAGTTCCAGGACAGTCAGGGCTACACAGAGAAACCCTGTCTTGAAAAACAAAGCAAAACAAACAAACAAAAGCAGTCAAAGACAAAAGAAATTCTGCCTAATTCATGACTCTGCTCAAGTTCATCCATTAAATTGCCTTGCTACAGAAGGACTTCTTCCCGGTCCTCAACCTACCAGGATCTATAATGGTTCAAAAGCAATTCAATATAGGAATTTAGATCTTTTTATTTTAAATTTTTGTCTTTTCCCAGACTAATAATGTAATTTTATTGTTGTTGTTGTTTGTTTTGTTTTGTTTTTGAGACAAGATCTCAGTAAGTAGTTCAAACTGATCTCAGACATGCTATGTAGCCCAGGTTCAAGACCTTCCTGCCTCAGTCTCTCTAGCACTGCAGGTATGGGCATATCATCATCACCTCTAGAGCACTCTTTCAGTTTGGACAGTGCAGTGAGCCCCAACACTCAGTCACCCAACAGTGAAGGGAAGGAATGGCACATCATGCAGCACCACTGAGCTGTGATGTCCTCCCGCCTGCAGTGTTAAACAAATCTTCAACTCACAGCGGGTTTTCGGAGCTAGAGACCACTGTTAAGTCAGGGAGCAGCCATATTCTTCCATTCACCGTCTCATTCACGCATCTGGAGACTCACACCGTGTCAGAAGCGACAAGCGTGAAGGACTGTTAGCGATCCACAGACTTTGCCCTGTCATTGGGCTGGACACAAGGAATGCTGCTTGGTGAAAGCTATTGCCACAGTCCTCTCTCCAGCCCAGTTGACCCCTTCCACCCTGGTTCTTCAGGAAATGGCATCTCTCTAGACTCTAAGTCTAGAGGCTCAGCAAGCCTTTCGCAAGGGCCAGAGCCCTTGCTTCCTGCTAGTGGAATCAAATGTTGCCTACCGGCTAGAGACTTCAGAGAGCCAGTCCTGCGGGGAACTGTAAGGTTTTGGGTGGAGCAGGATAATGACTCAGCCCTGTAAGCAGGCAGGAACCGACCTGCTGGAGAGAGATAAAGGCCCCTCCTTGCCTCTCCTGCCCATTTCCCTCTGTTTTCTCCCTTCTCTAATTGTTATTCCTGGAAATTAGGTTTTCCTTTTGTTTATTTTGTTTGGGGTAAAAGAACTCGGGGAGACATAACCTTGGTCTGGGGATGGCTGGGAAACTGCAGGCCAGGACAGAGTGGCTATGGTGTTCAGTGTAAGCCTCTGGTCATATCTGCTCCACAGGCCTCAGTAGCCACCGTCTGATTGGTCATCAGAGTACCTGAAGGGCCCTTACCAGGACCACCGGCTCCCATTGCTTAGAACAAGACTGTGGGCTGCACAAGAGAGACCCTGCTGGGCCACCAGTGCCTCACCTCACACAGGGCTCCTCCTTGCAGGAGTGGGGATTTCCTCTTCACTTAAAGATGCTGCCTGGTCACCACATCCCTGCAGGGCTGCAGCTGGCAGTTTCGGGCTTTTTTTTTACTTTAAGGAAAAATAGCATGGAGATTCTGAGTCCTGTGTTACGTAAGCCTCATTCTAAGAAATCTCTTTTACGACCTAGTTGGAAGCTATTCAGGAAGAAAAAATGTAAAATCCAGGCGATCCTGAAGGTGAGCTGGCCCCAGGGAACCTGGAAATTCCCTAACTAACTCCCCAGGCAAAGGTTTTTAGTCTCAGCTGAAGGAGGAAAGAAGTCCTACAAGGACCCGCTGAACCAGGGTCTCTGTCCTTCCCGGGTGCTCTGACTGTCTTGAGGAGGTCAGAAAGTCCAGCTAGGCCTTCCACCTGCACCCTGAGACTGGCAGGTAAGTGTCCTGAGGGTGCTCCCTGCACAGCCCGCCCCACCCTTGGGAGAGGCTGCCTGTTGCTAGGTGGAGCAGTTTGCCGGGTGAAGGCTGCCCCAAACAGCCTCAGGAGCAAAGCTAAGAAGCTAAACTCTGATTCGCAGTCATTACGCCCACTCTGTGGTTACTTCAACCTGGCTGCTCCGACTAGAAATTCCCAGGGCTAGTCTAAGGCTTTCTTGACTGGTTGCTGTCGGCAAACAGCAGGCGTCCTGCAAGTGAAGGATAATTGAGACAACCCACACTCTCCTGCTGGGCTGCCACAGCAGGAAAGCAAACTAGTCGTTTGCTGACGCAAATTTTAGGGAGACACACGCCTCGGAATCATGCCGGGGCAGGATCTGAGAGTGTGTGCCTCCTTATATGGTGCACAAGTTTGGCCAGCCTCCTCATTGCTAGCCTTGACTAGCTGTGGGACGCCAAAAGCCAAAATCAGAAGCTTTTGATTCCCTGCAGGATGCCTGCCCATTCTGTTCTTAAACTTGAGGATCTCCTAGTCTTATGAAGGTAATAATTTTCTCTTCACATTTGAAGACCAGAAATTAAGGTTAATATCTATCGAAGGTAAGTATGGGTATGTTTCTAGCAAATGCAAAAATGAAATGGGCAAACAACAGACTTCAGGCTCAGGATTTGGTCTTGGTAAAGTGTATAGCCAACCCCACTGAGCCTCTGGCTTTGCTTGATTTATTTATTTTTTAAGGTTTATTTAATTTATTATCTATCCAGTGTTCTTCCTGCATGTAAGCCTGCAGGCCAGAAGAGGGCACCAGATCTTATTACAGATGGTTGTGAGCCACCATGTGGTGGCTGTGAATTGAACTCAGGACCTTTGGAAGAACAGTCAGTGTTCTTAACTTCTGAGCCATCTCCCCAGCCCAAGTTTTGCTTTATTTTATTTTATTGTTAAAGAATAGTTTTGTTTTGTTTGGTTTGGTTTGATCTGGTTTTTCGACACAGGGTTTTTCCACATGGCTTTTTTGAACATTGTTTATTTTTAAATTGTAGTTATGTATTTTGCATGTGTGTATGTATACCATGTGCATGCCTGGTGCCCAGGAAGGCCAGAGGACTTCAGATTACCTAGAACTGAAATTATAGATGATTGTGACCTCTGATGTGGGTGCTAGCAGTCAAACTTGGATTCTCTGAAAAAGCAGCCAAGTGCTCTCTTCCTCCCCCCCCAACATATTTTTCTTGATTATTTGGGAATTTCATATAATGCACCCCATCACACTTGCTTTTTATTC